AAAGCACTTGCTTGTGAGGAAAGTGGAGGGAGAAAGCATTTTCCTCATAAGAAAGTGCTTTCTTGCAAGGAAAGTGCTTTCCCCCTCCAGCTTTACAAGAAAGTGCCTTCCCCCTCTACTTTATTCGCAAAAAGTGCAGGGGAAAAGCAGGAATCATCAAAGCGATTCATGAAAGTGATTCCTGCTTTCCCCCTCCACTTTCCTCACAAGAAAGTACTTCCCCCCCCCAATTTTCCTCGCAAGAAAGTGCTTTCCCCCCTCCACTTTCCTCACAAGAAAGCACTTTCTTGGGAGGAAAGTGCTTTCCCTCCCCACTCAAAAGTGGAGGGGGAAAGCAGGAATCATCAAAGCTCTTTGATTTCTGCTTTTCCCCTCCACTTTCTAGCGAGGAAAGTGCTTTCTCCTGCCACTTTCTTTGGAAGAAAGTGGAAGGGGAAAGCAGGAATCACTTTCATGAATCGCTTTGATGATTCCTGCTTTTCCCCTCCACTTTCTTTGGAAGAAAGTGGAGGGGAAAGCACTTTCTTGTGAGGAAAGTGGAGGGAGAAAGCATTTTCCTCATAAGAAAGTGCTTTCTTGCAAGGAAAGTGCTTTCCCCCTCCAGCTTTACAAGAAAGTGCCTTCCCCCTCCACTTTATTCGCAAAAAGTGCAGGGGAAAAGCAGGAATCAAAGCATTTTGATCCCTCCCCCCTCCTTATGTCTGCGTATAAGACAACCCTAAATTTTTAATCTAAATATTTTAGAGAAAAGTATCATCTTATATATGGAAAAATATGGTATATGAGATGCACATATACACAACATTTGCATATCACTATGTATATCCTATGCAATCACATACGATTACTAAAGTCTTTGAGGGAACCATTAGATGATTTATTTTTCTCAACTCATATCTCTTGATTACCACCCAAACTCAAGAGAAAAGTATCCAGACAAGCAAGCAGCAACTCTTGTCTTACCAGTCCTAATACTTGTGAATGAGAACCTTGGTCAAATACACCCGTCTGATTGCAGAAACTGATTCCCCAGCGTATTAGGTTGTTCCAATTGGAGTTGCGATCAAAATAATGGTGCACTATCTTGGGAAAACGTAGGACTACATCACCAAAAAAGGCAGTGTTCTCCACCACATGGGAATATGCTGAAGAAAAGAATCACAAGGGTGGGTGGAGAGTCAAGAGTCATTCTTAGAGGTTTTGCCACAAGTAATGATCAAACTTGGAATCACAATGCAAAATGCTTCTTTCTTAATACACTGGTTAAAGGAAGACTCCCCCCTCCCATCTTTGCTCACTTCATGGAAGGGTAGGGATCTGAACCTGCATTGTTAGGAAAAGGAGAATGCATTTTACTCCGTTCACTTATCCACAGTACAAGGAAACAAATCCTGTACACACAGCATTTGACAAGTGAAACACTGGGGGAACCCATTAGCCAAAATCCCTTTTATGGAGCTATGCAAATAGCATAACTTTTGGAGACAAATAGTCCCAGGTTAGGAAACCACTAAAGACACGATCCATTGCACACTGAATCAGGCAGATCAGTATGCAACTGATAATGTCTATAGTGATTTCTTAGCTTTCAGCAAATCACTCCAAATGTTACACTGTTTATGCTACCCAGTATTACTAGGTAAGAGGATCTAGGCATTAACAACCAAACTTCTGAATGTCGGAATTCCAAGAGCAATATGCTAGCCCACAAATCTGCTTGAAAACCTGGCGATTACTGTATTTTCCGTGTATATAAGACGCTCCCATGTAGAAGACAGCCCCGCCTTTTCTAACCCAAAATTACAAAATCTTAACTTAGCTTTCAGTATTCAGCCTCTGGGCTCAGAATGCTTGAGCATTATGAGTCCCTGTTGCATCTGAGCCTACAGGCTCCACCTCCAACGAGGTGTGCTCCAATTGGTTTATTCAGCATCAGCTGACGTCAGTTCCATAAGGCCCGTGATTGGAGAAAGCTAAGTCTCCTGAGTGTAGGAAGCTAAGCCTCGTGATTGAAAGAAGCCTGTTTACAGAGACAAGGTATGGACAGTTTTGTTCTCTCCTCAGCTTACTTCCATGTCTAAGATGCCCGTCAATTTTTACTGTAATGATTTTAGGAAAAAGTAGTGTCTTATAAATGGAAAAATATGGTATGTCATTCAGTCTGACATAATTTTTCCTACAAGCTATTCAAAGAAAAAGGAGTCCTGTGACAACACTTTTAAAATACTTGAAAGATTGTCCTACAGTGGAGGGCAGGATTTGTCCTCAGTCATCCCAGAGTGGAAAATCTGTAATACTGGGCTCAAACTACAGGAAGCCAGATTTAGGCCGAATATCAGGAAAACATTTCTTAACACTTAGAGCAGTAGAACAGTGGAACCAATTACTCTGGGAGAGTGGTGAGTGCTCCAACACTGGAGGCATTCAAGAGAAAATTGGACAACCATCTATCAAATCTGCTTTGATTTGGATTCCTGCATTGAACAGGGGGTTGGACTCGATGGCCTCTTAGGCCCCTTCCAACTCCAATATTCTATGTAGCATTTTTGAAATTATAATAGGAAAAGGCATTTTGAGAGCAATGACTCACTATATTCCAGGTTTATACCACAGAAAGGGTATTTGAAGATACATCTTTCCTGTCATGACAGAAACTAATAAATAGAAACTATTTAGATGACAACTCTTAAGAATGCCTCAGCCAACCTGGCACAGAGAGTTCCAAGTGATCTCATTCCAAAAAAGGAACTTTTAAAAGCCAACTTATGACAAAATTATTTTAGGATGGAAAAGTAAGGAGAAAATGGTACCAATGCCTATCCTTTAGGTCCTAGCACTAATAGTCAGTTTTCTGTCCCCAAGATTCTCTGCAGACCACAGGGCCTGCCAAAATATAACCCAAGATATGCACTTTTAGTTTTTGTTTTGGTGGGGTGGGGATTGATACTGCTGAGGATAAAAATGAGGAACTCCTTCTGAACATCCCGATGGCCATACTAACACCAGGCATCATACTTTATCATAAATGGCAATACCTTAGATAAAAATCTATTTTTCTTTACCACTAGGAGAGTTTTTACAGAGTGTAGTACTGTACTAGGAAGCAAAGCAAAGGGCACTCTGCTCATCAAAGCATTTTAACAAGTGACTGGAAACATAAATACAGCCAGCTGGAAATAGTAAATGTATGCACATTTATGTAAAGTATAGAAATAAAAAAGTCTAAATTGACTAATTTCAGACATAAAACCTGTGGTTTTAGCTGAGAACCTGGATTTTTTTCATTCAAAATTCTAAAACTATTGTCAGGATTTACCGGAGATGAAGTGTGTTACCATTTTAGATATAAATTAGCCAACTCAGTATAGAGGCCCATAGCTTTAGACATGTGGTATGAACATACTGGCTCCAGTGGGATGCATGCAACAGACCAAGACAAGATCACAACGAACCCATATGTTCCTTTAATGAGACTGATCATCCCTAAAAGCATGAAGTTTCCATTACATACACAGCTGAAATAGCAAGATTCTGTTCTGCTTCGTGTACCATATGCTACGAAGTCTCTCTTGGCTCTGTTGCCATTCCAGAACCTTTACAAATGCCAGAAATGATGACACACAAGAACAGAAGTGACAGGGTGGTTAAGGAAGAGTAGCCAAGATGGCGAGAGAGCTGCAATGCCATTACAGCTCAGAGTTAAAAGACTTGACAGACAAAGAATGATGGGTGGAAAACTAGGATTAGAAGAAGAAAGAGCTCCTACCATCCTTTAGCTTCTCATCCTGAGGGAACGGCCCATCTGGTGGTACGTCTGCTGCTATAAGAACTGCCCGGGAGTCTTCAAGAACCTACAAATCACAACACCAAGACACCTCAGGTTATTTCAATTCCTGCCAAAGACAACTTTTCCTGCATTTTGCTGCCAGCAATAGGCTCTTCACAGTCCTCTACCTCCCAATCCTCAACTGAAAGCAGATACCTATTTGATATCGCCCTGATAAGGATGTAAAATCTTTACTTGCCTTATCCTCACAGGCAAGGACGAGGAATTGCCATTTTTCCTTTTTTTTATCTCTACCCTGCAAGAGGTTGAGAATTTTTCCAGAGATATCACCTTGAAGATTTCAAACAAATCAAACTATTGTGCAAATTCTGCAAAGATGTCCAAACATCTAGCTTTTGCTTTGTAGACTTTTAAAAATCTGAAGCACCTAATAGGTTCTCTGCATCTTTTCAAGCCATCAGCAAGGCCTGCTGTGCTTTCTGTGTTTTATTTCTTAAAGATAAAGGACACTCATTTTTCACATGCTGCTGCAAAGGCATTTTGCAAAAAGCACACAAACTTTAATGGGGAGGAGCACTTGTCTCACTCTCACGCTGGAACCAAGGAATCTTGTAAGGCTTGAAAATTCCTCATCTGGTTGTCCCATCATTCTGAGACCGGAGATGAAGTGTGTTACCATTTTAGATATAAATTAGCCAACTCAGTATAGAGGCCCATAGCTTTAGACATGACAGCTTAAATAAACAGGAATATGGAATTTATTGAGTAGTCTTTCCAACCTTGTGCCCTGGGAGTGCCAAGAATGTGGGAAATGTGCTGCCGTAGGAGAAGTCATTTGCAACCTTTGGCCAGAAAATCTACATTAATGTTGGGGAAAAATATACTCCAAACTCTTGAAAAATACCTTTATATTTTACATGAGAAACAAAACACCGAAGCTCCTGAACCAAAGCTTCCTTACACACACTATATTAATACCCCCAAAATCAACACACACAAACTTCCATTACATAATTACATCGCACAGCAAAAAGGAAAAAAACACTTTTTGCCCACGCAATGTGGGGGTTATATTAAAAACAGCAACGGTATGCAATTATGTTCACCCTCTTCATGCCATGTCATGGCACAGGAGCCCATCTAGAAGCCACTTGACAAATGCTGACCTCATTGAAATAGCTCCCTGCTGCATGCTTTGTGTTGGTGATGTCATGTGCCATCAAATCAGTTCTGAGCTACAGTGATTTTAATAGGTTTTCCAATATCCAAGATCTTCAAAGTATAGTTGAGCATCGCTATTGACCAGAGAACTTCTTTGCCCAAGTGGAGATTTGAACCCAAATCTTCTGAGCCCTTGTCCAATGTTCTGTCCACTACACCACAGTGGGTTTCGTAAACCCTGTTAAATACCAGCCCAAACAAATAGACAAAAATCTGCTACTTTAAAAAGTTTTTCCCATGTCTTAGCAAACATCTGGAAAAAAAGTATCTGTATTCATGGAACAATCACTGAAATTGTTTGTCTCTCTTAATTTGCTTCTCTACTTTTTTGTGGATGTGTCAAGTTCAGATTAGGACATTTGAACAAGGTCCTCAGGGCACTATGAGATTTATAACACTCTTTGGAGTTTGATTCTGTGGGGGTCTGTCACCGCTGAGATTTTTCTCTTACAGGGTTAATTTCAGTGTGAGATCAGATAAGCATGTCAATCATATCAAAGTTCATCTCAGTAAATATTGTCCTTCAATGATGTGAGTCACCTTGGGTCCATTTTAAGGAGAAAGATGGGGTAAAAAGATTTTAAATAAATATCAAGTCATAACTAGAGTTATAAATCTTATCGTGCTCTGAGGATGTTGCTTGAGTGTCATACATTTGACTTCAACAGAAGGAACAGGTTCAAAAACACCTGGTCTCAAAATTCTGTAAGGTTCAGTTACAGAAGTTACCTGACCCAATACATTCACCGAGCAGTAGCCCCAACCCAGAAACAAGAAATATCAGGATTAGGAGCTGTCAAATTTGTCAGCAGTATCTATGGGAAAGTGGTGCATTGCTGAACCCACCCCTCCCATCCTCTGTCTCTTCCAGAAAGCTCTACACTTCATTTCACTGCACTGTTTAGCAAATTCTGCATGATGAAAACACTGTGCTCCATTAAGCAAGGCTCACTTTGAAAAGACCCTTGAGCATGATGTCTATGATCTTGTATTGCTGATTCACATCATTGAGTTCAATCAGGTTCTTCAGTGCATTCATCTGGTCTTTGCGTTTTACTTCAAACAGTTTCTTATCTGCAGCTTGGTCAAGGGATCAGAACACCTCAAAAATCTTGCCCTGGTCCCTCCCCTCCAACATCCCATGTCTATAACCCCAGAGCACAGTCCTCAATCATATCACATTTGTTTTTCCCCCAAACTAGCCATTACAAGGGGCTGGGTTTCTTTTTAAGGGCTGCATCAAGTTTCATGAAGAAGAGCCAATTGGTAGAGACAGAATACATCTTACAGCAATGGTACTCATCCTTTGGCCTTTCTGATGTTTTGGACTTCAATTCCCAGAATCCCTGACCATTGACCATCCTGGCTTGGGATTCTGGGATTGGAAGTCCAATCCACCTGGAAGACCAAATGTTGAAGCTGTTGTTTTACAGAAACACGAGCATAAGCTAGAATCTTTGGGGTTTAAACTACAACTTATTGGTCAGGGATGGGTGGGTGGGAACAACCTATAAACACAGAAATAAGTCACAGGTTGAAAGCAAGTGAGATGAAAAGAGCAAACTATTATCACTTTTAAAACCATAAAGAGCAGGAGAACCTTACTTATGAAAGAGTGAGTTGTTTGTGTATAAAGAGCTTAAATTTGGATTACCTTCCCCATGAAGAGAAACTTCAAAATGGTCCCTGCATGTTTTGTTGCATTTTTATCCCATCATTCTGCTGAATATGTTGTGTGTGATTTTCCATTCTCAGTGTCCAAGCAATACTGTGAGATTGGTGCAGGCATTCTCTTGGACTATCCTAAATCACTCAATAACGATTCATGGCATGGTAGATGAGATGTTCTCTCCATAGTGTTCCAAGATGGAGAGATCAAATTTTTGCATCAACTTGAGATATCAGATTTCATCTCAGGCAATATAGGATTAATTGTCTTTCCAAATCTCTGTAGACAAGAGGTTGCCAATTATATAGTGTGTTCTCCATCACTTTGTATTGCAAAGGAGAATGTTCTAGGTTAGTGTATTTGTATCAAAATAAAAGAGATATGTGAGGGTGATATACTTGACTAGTGATCTCACTAGCTCTTGTGTCTAAGATCAGAAGGGCCTTGATGGTATAAGGTGTTTTCCACCATGTGAAGGCTGTGTGTTATCTACTATCATGCTCAAGTAATGTCCTATTTTGATTAATGTAATTTACTGTGTGTCAGTGTGTCCTTGAGGACAATCTCAGATAGCACGGTGCAAATACAGCAACTGGAGCACCAACTAGAACTGGGGTAGCACTTTTCTTATTAAAAATATTTGTTAATCACCATTCAAAATTGTTAGATAGCTATTTTTAAAAGGAGGATGAGGGGATGTATTAAAGCCAAAAGCAAAAAAGCAAAGTGTGCTGCTTATATACCGCCCCATAGCACTTCAAGCACTCTCTGGGCGGTTTACAAGTTAATTATGCAGGCTACACATTGCCCCCCCCCCAGCAAGCTGGGTACTCATTTTACTGACCTCGGAAGGATAGAAGGCTGAGTCAACCTTGAGCCGCTACGCAGGATTGAACCCCAGGTCGTGAGCACAGTTTTGGCTGCAGTAAAGCAGTTTAACCACTGCGCCACGAGGCTCCTCACAGACATTAAATAGACATTAAGACTTCAGAAGGATAGACTTAGATCAATTCAAGGCCAAACTAAACAAATGTGGAAAATATGGAAACTGTTATTTCCTGATGTCTTTATTTTTATTTAAAAATTGGGGCTTTGGTACCATTGGGGTCTCCATTCCTTTCATACCATTTTACCAATGCCCACCTACAGCACAAACATTTTGCCCCCTGGGAGAAACTCTGCATGTATTTGCATGAAATATCTTGGTCACATTACTGCCCAGGAAGAAAGGTACCAAGATAAACAGAAAACTGGCACCACCACCACATGGCCAAAACAAGGAATGCCATGTGCAATGTAATGGGTTATTTATTTTTACCTACATATATACACCAGACATGGATTTACATACCCATTACCCCCCCCAAAAAAAAATCCTTGCAAATCTAGTTCTCTCCCCAAACGACACTCCCTCCCTCCCACTCATTCAATTTTCAAATTAAAGTCCAGTCAACAGAAGAAGGATACAGATTTCTAATCCTGGATCTGGTGTTTTCTTCTCTGTTTCAGCAGTGACCCCTCTAGATAATAGCAGTATAACAAGAAGGGTGCAGGCCTGAAAATAATCCATCCTTTAATTCCTAGATTGGAGAGAGAATAAAAGAAAGGGAAGAGGCACTGTAATTATTTTCACAGTTTAAGTAAAAACATACTAACCTTTCCATGCACTATGACACCCGACCGTTACTAGCCCAGTCAACATTAATTAATCTGTGTAACTCCAGCTGGTCATCGATTCACTGCATGAAGGATCCATCCTCAACTTTGGCCACAGACTCTAATCCCCACCCACCACTTGTTGATCAACCTAAATGGTTTCTTTCTCCCCCAGTATGAAAGCTATGAAACCTATCTGTACTTCTTCTATTCAGTCACTGAAAAGGTTGTGTGGAAATCCAAAACAGATGTCTGATATCCACATTACTAAAAATCCAGAGTACTGGATCCTTGAGATGGTTGGTGCAACAGAATAGGAACAGCACTTAACTCTAACTGCTGTCCTCTGACTAGGTTTCTGCTTGCCTGCATCCAATATGTGGAACTGAACAGAGAACAAATCACAGAAAACTTCAGAGGATGGCATCTTTGCAATCAAGCCCTCTACCAATGACCCTCAGCACATCTCCTACTCAGTCTTTTCCTAATACTGCAAATGCATACTTGAGCAGAGAAGATGGCAGGCAAGATGTTAAGCGACCGCACAGAGCACACAGCGGTTATAAATGTAAAGTATCACATATGGGAAACTGTGTTCCTACATCCAATATGTGGAACTGAACAGAGAACAAATCACAGAAAACTTCAGAGGATGGCATCTTTGCAATCAAGCCCTCTACCAATGACCCTCAGCACATCTCCTACTCAGTCTTTTCCTAATACTGCAAATGCATACTTGAGCAGAGAAGATGGCAGGCAAGATGTTAAGCGACCGCACAGAGCACACAGCGGTTATAAATGTAAAGTATCACATATGGGAAACTGTAGTGCTGTTATTTTCTAGAGAGAATAGAAGTCTGTTACTCTGCGATATTGCTCATTGCATTTTGACACCATGAAATAAGTCGATGTGCACAGTTTAAATTTAGAGAAAACATCAAAGACGGCTATCACATTGTTGACTTCCAAATAGTTGCCACCAAGACCTCTGTGTCTTCACATTTCGGTAGGTCATAGAGCCCTTGTGGAATTAACATTTTCTAGAGAGAATAGAAGTCTGTTACTCTGCGATATTGCTCATTGCATTTTGACACCATGAAATAAGTCGATGTGCACAGTTTAAATTTAGAGAAAACATCAAAGACGGCTATCACATTGTTGACTTCCAAATAGTTGCCACCAAGACCTCTGTGTCTTCACATTTCGGTAGGTCATAGAGCCCTTGTGGAATTAACATAGATCTCTAAAGAACAGAACATAAGCTATCACATCGTTGACTTCCAAATAGTTGCCACCAAGGCCTTAGGTCATAGAGCCCTTGTGGAATTAACATAGATCTCTAAAGAACATTGCTCACGTAGCAAAAACTAATGCGACAGACGAAAACCATACCAGACAATGGTAATGTATCTTCTTTTTTTTCTTTTTTGGTAACTACAACCCTTACAATTCCCCAGTCAGCATGGCGACTGGTCATGCAAGATTCTGGGAGCTGTAATCCAAATGATGATGATGATAATTCTAAGTTCTGGGAATATTCTGGGAAGAATCTTTAAAAATTCTTATTCCTTCCTGCATAGCAAATGAAAACAGTATGTTCTCTAAATGGAGAAGCACAAAGCAAATAAAGATTAATTACTATATGAACATCCAAGGAATGTAAGGTATACTTTTTTTTTTGTAACTACAACCCTTATAATTCCCCAGTCAGCATGGCGACTGGTCGTGCAAGATTCTGGGAGCTATAATCCTGATGATGATAATTCTAAGTTCTGGTAATATTCTGGGAAGAATCTTTAAAAATTCTTATTCCTTCCTGCATAGCAAATGAAAACAGTATGTTCTCTAAATGGAGAAGCACAAAGCAAATAAAGATTAATTACTATATGAACATCCAAGGAATGTAAGGTATACTTCTCTATTGAAAATTTGGGAAAACTGACAAAATTGTGTTTAGCCTATTCTGAAACACAACTGGCAATAGTTTTAAGCCAGGCCTGAATAGGAGGTGGAAATCACAATGAAGCTGTTTCTCATTGAAATAAATGGTAGCACAACTACAACGTCAGTGGAGAGATAATATGTTCAGAACGTACAGTAAGTGCCCAAGAATGGCCATGCTGTACCAGGCTAAACACCTATCTAGTACAGCAAGTGCCCAAGAACAGCCATGCTATACCAGGCTAAACACCTATCTAGTACAGCACTCCATTCCCACAAGACACCCAGTGGCCAACCAGATGCTTCTGGGAAGCCCATAACTAGGCCATAAGTGAAATAGCACCCTTTTACTGTACTTGCATCACCTTCTGGTTGTGAATATGTATTCTTTAGCAAAATGCCTCTAATACTGGAAGTTATATATAGCCATTATGATGAGTAGTAACACACTAAACAAGTTACTACTGGTTCAGACAGTTTCGCCATGAACTATGACAGAGCACTAAGGCTCCATTCCAGTAGAGGAACCCATAAAGAAGGAAGTTATGAGCTATTATTTACAAGTATACACTAACAGGAGGAGAAAATTGGACAAAGAGGCCCATAGGTGGAGTTCCTATGACTCAGGTTCTCAATCAAAGTATTTCCCAACTACCTGATGACCTTGGAATTCCTTCCAGCTCTCATTTAGAGATTCTACTCTGACAACTGCAGTAGACAATTAATTTGCTTAGTGCCTCGCCCATCTACTGTCATTTTTAATAGAACAGCACCTCCCTCTTCAAGCAATCTTTCTGGCTTTCTCCCTCCCATATGCAAAAAAATCATACTACAGAATGCCAGAGGTCCATCTGAGAACACTTGAGTAATCAGTTCTTAACACACATCGGGAGCAACTGCACTTCTAGAGCTAAGAGCGGTATGTTTCTACATTATTACCGAGACAAGACATTTGATACTGAGTGCAGAATTCAGCACCCAAAAAATCCTTGTTGTCTTCTTTCTTTTTCTTGGTTTTTCTTTTTCCTGAAACACGAATTCTTGGCTCTTAGAACAAGAACCTCCTTCTCTTCCAAAACTCTTGTACCTGAGCAGGTCTTGCACACCCTGGGTATTGCAGAATTGACATAGACAGCTCACCTCTGCACTATATAATAATCCCCCCGCCAGCTGACTCTGTTCATCCCCTGACTGTCTCCTGTTGCCTTACCTGGATTCTAGAAGAGGAACAACCTCAGTAGGCTAAGAAATAAACATTAGCCAGACCCTCAGCTATTGGCGCATCACTCCAATCCTGCACTTTCCAATTTTAATGATTGTCCAACCCTGTCGAGTAACATGAAGATGACATGGTTCGCATGTAGGATATACAACTGATATGACAGGAAGTGAAAAAAAATACGTTGCTTTAACAGTGTGCCAAATTTCAGATTTCACAAAATGGTAGGTTTTGTCAGATATATAAAAACATGGGCCAGAATCCTACTGGGATTTTACTCCAAAGTAAGTAATATCACATGAGTTATGGCAGTTTATTGCAGCTAATTAACAGGCTGCCGGCTGTGTGTCTAGTCACATAATGTGGCAAGATACAGTACCTTGTTAATTAGCAGCAGTTCACCATCACAACCTACAGTAAAATCCCAACAGGATTACTTACTAACACAAATAAAGTAAAGTAAAATGTGCCCTATCCACAATATATTTTCCTCCTTGAGAAGCAAGGGATATGTTTTGTATTAAACATGCTTTGGCATGTTATAGCTCTGTCAAATGCATGCATGGACATTTGTATTCCAGCAGACTTTCAGCAAACGAGTGGCTGCTGGGCTTTTAACAGATCTGTTTCGGTTCATAAATTGGTGTGTTTTTAAATTGCTTTTTAATTCAACAGTGTTTTAAAGTTATACTCTGTTTAATTGGATTTTAATTTAACCTTTTCGTAATGTTTGCCTGCATCTCTTTTTACCTGTATCTGATTTAATTCCATTATGAGCTTCATTGGGTCCCAGTTCTCAAAGAAATCAAGTAAACAGATTAATCAAGCAAATGCAGAAGTCCCACTGAAGTCTATGGGTGTTCTTTTCGAGTAATCAAGTATAGGATTTTAACCTATGGAAATTACACTTCAAGAGACAGAGGCTCCTGTAAAATTAAGTTTTACTACCAGTATAAATTCATTCAAAATACTGTATTAATATAAGGGTTGGCAATATTTTTGCCTCTGGGGTCTCCATACCAAAAGTATTGACAATCTGGGCCAATATCTCCCCATCAAGCCTTTTCCTTGCAACATGTACAAATATCCCTTGGGGGAAATGGCAGACAAGGAGGGATAAACCTTCCTTCACACCCCTGCATCATCACAATCCCAATAATCCTGGCTCCATAAATAGCTATTGTCCTGGGGGCAGGCAGTAGGAGACCTCCAAGCTCTGCAAGTAGCCCATAGGCTGTGTGTTGCCCACAGGAGTATTAACGACTGATTCCAACCATATTTGTACTGTATTGGGTTCCTACTATCACTAGGCCCCAGCTAGGGAACATGTGACTTTTCAGATGCTGTTGGATGTCAGCCCCACTCTTCTTGGCCTGCGCTCTGATATTTAGGGCTGGGCTCTGCTGGGTTCAATATATAGCATGTGACAGCCTCAACAGTCTCTTAGGATATATTATAAAAGAAATTTAGGGGTTCAACATATAGCATGTGACAGCCTCCCCCCCTTTTAGGAATAACAGTCTCTTAGGATATATTATAAAAGAAGCCAGGAAAAAAAGAATAGATACTTGAACCCCACCATTAAATCTGTATTAGCTACATTTCTTCAGAGGATAGTTTATTTCATGGACAAGATAAAATCGCAAAGATCTCTACCTTGTAAATCAAAGAAAATCTGAACAACTTCTTCTGACTAATAAGACACCCACTAAACTACACCAGGCAGAGCTGTCAGTCCATGACCATCAGGTGATTTTTTCCCTGTGTCCTCTTCTGTCACATTGCAAGTCCTCTTGCTCAGTTGAGTTATATCTGTAACAAAAATTAAAGTAGTTGAGGAAGAATACTTCTACCCATCAGTTCCATACTTTCCTGAAGTGAAACTGACATATGTACAACAGTTCAGTTATTAAATACTAAAAGTAGGTAGGCACCTAAGAGTGACCTCAGTTTCCTAATCTACACATCCAAAAATGTTGGAGAACAAATTGGGGTACTATAGTAACTATAGAGGCTAGACTTTGGATAATTGTCCTGTCATATTGGTTAAAAGTGAACCACACTAACTCTGGGCTCACTCTTTTGATATTAAAGAACAACTCTGTCTCCCCGTGGATGCAACTGTTGGAGAACAAATTGGGATACTACAGATTCTCATATCAGTGTCTAATGTTTATGAGTTATGACCAAGCCAAAAATCTGATCAAACAAAGCATCTTACACATAGAAAGGCAGCATGATCTGAATAGAGTTAAAGCACATATGAAGGATATCATCTGTATCAATAGAAATACATCAGTGCCTTACGTAAGCGAACTCGAAAATTCTGAAAGTAGAAGGGCGTTTATGCTAATCCATATGGACACGTTGCCTCCATATTTGAATCGGCTGTGTGTATGTGGTGAAGGAAGTATAGAGACCTTGGAGCATGTATTCTTGGATTGCAAAATTCACAAACAGAATCGGGAAAGCTACATCTATCCAATTATTTTGGACAGGGATGGAGGTGACAAGAAGGGCTGTCTCCAAACCTCGCTAGAAGACAGAAATAAGGCAACAACTTACAATGTGGCCAAATTTGGCCGGCTAACCGTCAAGCTAAGGCAAGTTTGGATTAATCAAATAGATATAGATCCCATTGAGAAGCTTATGGTGACTAAGGCCATTTAGGCTACCAAAGGCCCCTCAGGTCACTAAAGGATGACATTATAAAAATAGAGTTCTTCTCTATTTTATAAGAGTCTTTTATATATGTACTGTATATGTTAAATTCTAGCCGTTTTGGAACTTGTTATATATGGTCATGAAGATGCTGCTTTGTTGACTTGTCATTGATTTTGTGTATTGACTCAACGTTTCAATGGCTTTTGGCTAAAATTTGAATAAAATTCATTCATTCATAGATGAGCACTGGAAGCTGCCTCGTGTTGAGTCAGATTTTTATTCCATCTAGTTGAATATGGTCAACTCTGACTGACAATGGCTTCTCCAGCAGTTCAGTTGGGATCCTTGCTTAGCCTGACCTGTCAATCCATGAGATCCCTTGGTGGCCTCCCATTTAAGTACAAACCAGGTCAACCATGCTTAACTTACAAAAACAGACAAGATCAGGGTGTGTTCTGGGCAGTACAGTGTCTTTGCCTGTAAATGCCAGTGATCTTCAACATGTTACTTACTTGGCATTCTAAAAAGCTTTTGACCAAAAGTCCTGTCTGAGAAAATGTAGCAACTGACAACTGGTTTAAAGAGCAAGAAGCAGAGGATATGAGTAAATGGAGAGAAGAAAACAGTGAAGTCCTCCAAGAATTCATCAACTACCTTGAGTTAGGGTGAGCAAACAGGTAGCCAGGTTTGTGGATGATACCTCCACTTGCAACCTTACTGGTTTTCATATTATATAACCTTTTTTTCTTCCAATGAAAAAATTAAACAAGGTAAAGTAAAAGCTGCATAGCTACACACCAGCTTTTGACTGGCAGTGGTAGGTGTTTCTCTGTCTAGAAAAACTGAGCATGCAGCAACAGGGACAAAAATATACTCATAGCAAACTATTTCAAAGAAAGAAAATGGCTAGTAGAATACCTTTCTGGATCTTCCCCAGATGAAGAACTTTTACATTTTACATCAACATGCAATATGCAGGTAACCTATCTTTTACTCACAATGAAGCACACAGCAAGGCTGATCTGGATTATAATTACGTACAGGTAGAAAGAGCTTAATTTTGAGGCTGATCTGGATTAGACTCATTACGTACAGGTAGAAAGAGCTTAATTTTGAGGCAGTAGAAAGAACTATTATTTTCTCCCAAATTTACCCCCCATTCCTTCAGAAGGCCTTTTTAAAAGAGGAAAAAACTTCTATTGGCATAACTGAATAACTGATTTTTAATTTGTTTATTGCCCTTCTTAGCCCTTGCACCCAGGGGTTAGGAAGAGAATCTAGAGGGGAAACAAACATTGCAAGATTTAAGCTACCTACATCTGCCCGTGGTAGGCCTCATTCCTATAGGGTCCCCACATTTTGACTTGTAAGTAAAAAGAAAATAAAGTTGCACCCTGTGTAGCATGTAGTTTAACTTCTGGATGTAGCTTCATACCAATAATTCAGATTTTGCTCAGTTTTGTGAAGCCTTAATACCTAAAAGCAGGCTCGAATTTATAAATTATTACATGCATGCACTAAATGCATGTATGTTATACTATACAATGAAATTTTTATTATGTTTATGATGCATTACAACACATGACGCTGGCTCCCAGGAATATATCCCCAAGTCCTACATGCCTGTGGTAAAAGGAGCATTGGGGTCATCCAGAACAATCCTTCCATCAAGATTTCAAAATAAATTCAGAAGCAGACGGAGCGGGCTAGTGAGGTATCCACTGGGAGTCTGTAGTCCAGACTGCCAAGTGATTGTTAAGCACTGAATACATTGCTGTGTATAAAAGCAGATTCACAATGAGGAAATAATGCCTTTTTATTCTGTGAGCAAAAACAAAACAAGTACTGTAGCAGCTGAAAATGACACATAGGCTGTAAAATTCATGAAGCTGAAAGCAGGCAGCATTAAGGATTGTGAAGGGAAGGCTTACCTCATGTATTCATTACACAGAACAGCATGTTCCTATTTTGTTTTTGCTTCAGCAAATCAATCCTGATTGTTAGAATATTCCACATCTTGCCTAGATAAGACCAGTAATTGGAAAAAAGGTGTAACAAGCTTTACTAGCTCAGGACACTTCAAATGTGTGTCAGTCCTGACCAGCATAGTCATGCAGCTTTGGTTGATGAGGATTGTAGCCCACCATACCTGGAGCATGCCAAGTTAAGGACGGCTGAAACAGATGCTGGCCAACTGGCAGAACAATGGACCATTTCCAGTGAACAATCCTGAGGTTGCTAGAATTCTTGCAAAGAATGTCTAATTCAGCCTCTTGTGTTCTTCAGAATGTACTCATTCCCAGAATCACTTAATACAAGATTAGTTATGCCATAACTATGGAACTGTAAAAAATACTGCAGTGTTGGGTTATTCAAACACATATTGGTGGATATTGCCATTTTGTTTGTATGTTTGTTTTAAAAGCCTACAGTACCTATGATCTGAAGGAAGTAGTCCTCAGGAGAACTGAGGCACCAAGAGAAAGGACTCTTCACCCAATAGGTGGGACTCAGATATGGCCATTTACAGCTGGACTGGCAAAAGGGACCGTTCCTCCCCTAACCCGATTCTTTCAATGGTACAGTGTCTGATAGGGGATGAAAGGAGGGAGGATTCAATCTCTCTCAGGCAGAAACAACTAATTTAAGGAGAGTCCCTCATTCTCCTCCACCACATCTCAGAGGGCATTTCTAGGAAGCAAAGTGAGTATTGTAGGACAAGAAGCAAGAAAGTACATTTCCATAATCCCTGCGAGTTCAGGAGTAGCCTTTCTTAAAGAGAAAGGGACACTGTCTCATTATTCCCAGGAGAAGAGCCTTGGGAAAGCTGCCCAGAGCACCAACAGGAAAAAGGAACAGTAAACCATTTCTCAGTGCTTTTTTGCCTAGAAAACCCTGGAAAGGGTTGCCACAAATCAGAATTGAGTTGATATGTAATTACTTGTTAACTGTTTGTATTAAAGTGTATAAACAAACCAAGACGGTCAGTCATTGAGAGAGTGAAGTGAGAACTAGAAAATTTTGTACAGAGCTTGGAAAAGTTCCTTTTTGACTCACAGAAATCTATAACCAACATGTCGGGGCTTCTGGGAGACCTCATCCAAAAAAGGTAACTTTTCCAAGCTCAGCTTTTTGGCATAAGTAACCACCAAGTAGACAGAATAGGAGTATGAGACACCCACAATCAACCAGAACTTAAAAGCAGAATGTAGCTAGAACACTGCAGTTACAAGAGTAGTTGCCAAGGCAACCACAAAAGCAGAATTTGGTTAAGTTCAGATGAAACTTTTTCTTAAAACAGTCAATACAGAGGTACCTCGACTTACAAACTTAATCCATATTGGAATGGCGTTCGTACGTCAAAAAGTTCGGAAGTCGAGGCAAGATTTCCCATAGGAATGCACTGACAACCATTTAATCCGTTCAGGCTTTTTTCAGTTCGTATGTCAAGGCGCTGTTCGTAGGTGATAATAACAGCAGGAAAGTTTTTTCGTTCGCAAGTCAAGGCTCCGTTTGCAGGTCGAAGCAACATTTTGCGAACTGAGCCGTTCGTAAACCAAAACGTTCACAAGTGGAGACGTTTGTAAGTCGAGGTACCAGTGTATACGATACCAGACTTTATACTTGCCTGAAAAGGAGTCCACCTGTACAGCTGAAAGGCTTGCTACTGTATTCTTCCAACAATAGCAGCAAAAATCTGAAGATCAAATAAAGTATTGACTAAATAATACCTACCAGCAAGTTTTACCAATAATGTCACATTATAAAACATCCTGAGGATACCACTCTTAAGGAACAACAGTAATTGATTGACCATTGTATTGAAAACAATAAAAATATCAATTACACTTCACTAGAAAAACTCTGAGATGATCTTTCTTTGTTTGTTTCAGTTTAAAATTATGGACGTACATGGTAGGAATCAGTAAATGGATAGAGAAGATTGTGAAAATGTTTGGACAGTTTCCAAGAGCAATAACAAAAACAGAGACTGCAATCCTGTCAATAATTTACTGAAGAGCAAGTGCCATTTGATTACAACAAGAATAACATTCAAGTAAACACGTACAGAACTGCATAGTTAAAACACTTTGAAATGTCTGCCACAAAAACTGGTGTTACGCTAGCTCTGCATTGTTTTTTACTGA